GCAGGGACTCGAACAGCACGACTGATTCTCCCTGTCCGACTAGATCACTAGTCAAGGGATCACGACTACGGAGTACGGACTCTCTAGCTGGGCAATAAGATCCAGCCTTACTTTTCATCTCCTCGAGAGGCTTACTTTTCACGCACATCATAGATCACGCTGGATATGCTAGATCAAAAAATCGACCATGATGCCACGAGATGTTACTATTCGACCAGAAGGGTGGCTGGTCTAGTCAGAGGCAAGTTACTTTGATGAAGCTCCCGGCAAATACCCGTTGCCAGAAATAAAAACGAGGCCAAAAATCGGTATTATGCTCTGTGAGAGGTGGCAAGAATATACTACCTGGCTTTCAAGAAGTTCTCCACTGAAGGACGATAGAATCTGGGAACAAGAACTTTAGGGAAAGAGAGCACTGTTTGCCCATTCACAGGATCACTTCTTTGCTAATTGGCCTCATCAGTGGATGCTTCAATCAACAATCGGCTGTGGTGAGAAGCACGCAGCAAATACTCATCGCACTCATTGACTGCACCCCAACTTCGAGTATTCCAGCCAGGGATACTGGGAGGGGAACCTTTTACAGAAGAAAAGCAACAGTTCTTTTAACATTACTGTCACCTCCTATGGTTGGTTATGAACATGGACAGCTGTCATAAACTTCCTAATCACCATTTCTAAATGATTGCCTCGTGCCAGATGGGCAAGATGGGAATGCAAATATGCAGTGTTTGATATTGTTTCCTTTCCTATGGAGACTAAACCTCATTATCAAACTAGAACATGGCTACTAATGAACCCTTCTTTCTCTATTATTTTGGCTTGTTTCAATGACATTACATGATACCCCAATCAGGATGCATCTACTCCATCTAGTTATCAGTTTGCCCCGAGAAACATCCATCACAAGTTACATACTTTTGGTGCTCTACCAGCAATAAGGAATACAAGTGCTTGGCGTGCAGGAAACAATATACTGATTCGGGAGTTTACCAACAAGGAACATCCTCAACATCATATTGCACCTACGCAGTGCTATGATGGCACAGTTCATGTGGCTGATTTTTACTCACCCACTTGTACTGGCCTGGGTTAAGGCGAAGTTCAGGCGGGCCCAGCCTGAACCAGCTCAAACTCAGGAGGGACGGCCTGCTCCGGACCCGGCCGAAATTGTAGGACGCTTAGAGGAGAAATTGGACAGAGTGGCGTCCTGTGTCGCTACTTTGGCCTCTATCGACTCGAAGCTGAATACGATCGAGGCTCACGTTCGCAACGTGTCCAGGAATGTAGAGGCGTTACGAGGAATGCGGCAGACCCAACTGGGAAGGTGCTGCGTGGTTTCACTTCTGCTTTGGAGACAGCTGTCGGTTCCTTACGCTCGTCTCTACCTGCCGCGGAAGGGGAGGATGGACCAGGCCGCAGCGATACTTCCGTTTAGAGAGCAGTAGCGAGCTCTCTATGCGTATCCTGACGTCAGGCCGCACGCGCACTCACCTCCTCTGTGGTGGCCCAACCCAGGGGAACAAAGGTGAATGTGCCACCAGCGATGAACTCGCACTTCTACGCAGTGCTGGTGACTAGTAGCCCACGTGGTGAAGCTAAGACGAGTTCAAGAATCATAGCGTACAGGTATTGAATTCCCTCTTATGAACGGAAAGTCGGTATAATTGAGCCACGAGCCCCAAGGCCATCTTGCACGCTGCTCATACTCTTCGAGCGTCTCAAAAGCATTGTCGGTATTCTCATACCAAGTTTTATCAGCTTGAATGAGGTCCCGGCCCATCCATTTCAAGGTGCGAAATCTCAAGTAGGTGATTCTGGCGGTCCACCAGTCCTGATGCCATTCAATATCGAGAGAAGTTGTTAAGCAGTACTTGCATTTCACCTTCCTTGGGTTACTGTACAGGATACCATCATCCCCTTTCGTCCTTATGTGTCTTAAAGTAGTGATATCATCGATGTGATCATATACGCTGCGATGTGGGCAGCAGAAATATGGCATGTTCATAAGACCAAACGGGATTCTGGATCCAGTGAGAGTGTAGATGGTTTCAATCACTAGTTCACCGTCATGCTCGAGTTTAGGGTTGATAGTGACTATAATCTTCGTGGGCCCGCCAGCATATTCACATTGGTGCCAGCCTGGAATGGCAACAACGTCTTCGCGGTCGGGCGGCGGGGGGTCCTTTTTCCCTGAGGATCGCTCTCTAAGCTTATCAACCAGCTTTATTTTTCCTCGAAATGTCATCCTCACACACGGACAAAGGCGCACAACCCCAGCAAGTGCGCCAAACATGCAATTTCGACTCTTTGCTCTCGTTTCCAAGGCTTGCTCTGAGAATTCATTTGTAGGATGTAGTTTCACGCATGCAGAGCAGCAACGGAAGCGTGAATCTTCGAGCTGACAAAGTAGTTTCCAGAAACCTGATTCAAAGATGTAGCTGCGGGTTCTAGGCTCCCGTATATCTGAATCTAAGGATCTAGGATAACAAAACTCTGGTGATTTCCGCAGGGAATTTGAGTCGTCGAGGACATTCATTAAGCCCCTAGAGCACAAGGCAAGGCAAAGCCTGGACGCTGGGGGAAGGTAGTCCGCGATCTCAAATATGAGTTCGATAGGAAGGTTTGAAAATGGCGAGATGACTGGCTGGCGTGACTGAAGGGCTCGAGATGCTCGAATAGCGAGATGTTTTTCTCGCTTCCAGCAACAAATGAGAGCCAACAGGCTAAGCAGTGCCAGTAATAAGTTGAACATACTGTTGCACACTGGTCAAACTGATTCGGGCCTTTGTGAGAGGCAGGTGGTTTTCCAATGTGGTGAAGTCTTCGTTTCGGGGGAGGTGGATATGGAGTCATGTTGAATTCAGGGTATATAAGCTACCCGACGGGCATTTATGCTGGACGGTAAGTAGCGGAATGATGACCCATGGTTATTCGAGTTCCATGGGTAGACACTGGAAAGACTTATCTTGCTGCTGCCTTGTAACAAACATCCTTTGGATATCACTTTAACAGATTGCTTCAATAGGAATAGCCTGTTATGGCTGGCAGTTATTGCAAATATATATATAGGTACCTCGTCCTCTTACGAGAATAAACTCTAATGGGCTGTGCGGTTTCCGGCTTGTCGGCACTCATAGTTATGGGGAACTATGGAAGCAGCTGCATGATGAGCTCATGATAATTTGCCCCCTATGGCTGAGACTCTAGCTTCCGTTGCAGCCCATGTACAGAGTATGTATGTCTGTACGACAGCATTCGCAAATGTCACTGTCACCCACCCGTGCAAACATTAGTTAATGCTGAACCAGACCAACCAGCAGCGAGGATAGCCATGACATACGTACTTTCAATCATTGTAACAAGGAGTCAAGGAGCGCACCAACGGCCCGCGCGCCGTAGGTCTGTGACCACCGTGAACGTCCATGCCCGACGTCCTCCCTGTCGCTAGCCGGAAACGCGAGTCGGAAATAGCATCGAATGTCGTTTGCGGGCAAAATCGACTTGTCTGCTTAGAGCCCGGATTCCAGATGTAGCTTGAACTCGCGAAATCCTCCATAACCTACCGGCCAACCCTTAAACTGTAATCTGGAACATTCCACGAACTTCGGGTCGGTTTGTTGCACCACATCGGCATATCGTAGATCAACTCATATCGGCCTAGTTTGAGAAGGAGATGCACATAATGCGACAAGTAGGTAGTATGGATGTACAGATGTATATATAGATGTAGTATTAGTGGCAATGGCCTGAATGAAAATGGATTGCGTGGTTATGGGTTGATCTCAGATGGAAGCTAGAATCAGGGATTCAATCAGGTACAGATACTTCACATTAGTTACCATCTTTTCTATGAGTGCTGCTAACAACACTTCCAGGAATCATTCCAAGCCAAAAGATCGATCGCCCTTTGGAAACAACCCAAGTATGAGAACAGAAAATGAACACCAATTATTAACGGGAACTCCTTCCCAGTATATGAATTAGATACATCGATAAAATAAGATAAAAATGCGAGGTGTGGTATAATTTGTTCTCTCCCCTAATCAACACACATTGCCAACCTCGCAGTCTTGTCGTTGCCAGAATGGCCGCTTGCAATCATGATAAGAATCCCCGTTTCCCAACCATGCCCGTTGTCACCTTGTCTAAATGACTCCAAGCTAGAAGGGAAACAAAGGCCAGAGACTCATTAAACCATGCCGTATTCAGTCATCCTGCTCCCAATGCGTGTTGATCGTTTCTGCGGCTGGACGGTTGTCCCTTGGGGGTGTTGTGAATATCGCAGACTTTTTCTTTCGTTGTAAAATTTAAATTTACAAGTAGGCAGCGAGACCAAGGAGAGCAGCAGCAATGCCGCCAACGCTGGCGCGGACGTTGGAACCAGCACCGGGGAACTCAGCTGGGGTGGAGGCAGTTGGGGCACCGGTGACGGTGTAGGAGCCAGTGCCGGATGGGACACCAGGGCCAGTGCCAGTTGGGGCAGCGGTGGTGGGCTCTTCAGTGGGAGCCTCAGTGGGCTCCTCGGTGGGAGCACCAGTTCCAGTCTCGGTGGGCTCAGCGGTGGGCTCGGCAGTTGGCTCAGCGGTTGGCTCAGCAGTAGGAGATCCGCTGGTCTCAACTGGTGGGAGATCAATGGGGACACCAGCCTTGGAGCACTGGTCAACAACGATGTTGGAGACAGCTAGCAGTGATGGTTAGATTCTGCGTACGTCCATTTCAAGGTTAGGGGATGGTAGTACGTACAGACTTGGGCGTCGTGTGGGCAAGCAGCCTCAACGCAAGGAGTGATCTGGCCTGGGAGCTCAGGCTTGGAGCATTGGCACTTGAAGTCGGTCAACTGCTCGCAGCCAGAGCCGCCAAGAGCAGTGACGAAGCAGTTGAGCTAAAAGGTCGATCAGGTTAGCACTCTGCTAAACGCAAACCGAACAGGCTGGGACTCAGAACATACAGCGCAGGTTGGGATATCAGGAAGCTGGGCATTGGCGAGGCCGGCAGCGACGAGGGCGACGAGGGCGTGCGAGAACTGCATTTTGATTATGTGTATGAACGACGAGAACGAGAATCCTCCCTAATTGTACAGTAAAAACAACGGCGTTATATTAACGATAGTCTCTGCTTTGACCACGAAACGAATGTATTGTTTATAGCTGGAGGACTAGGGAAGGAAAAGCAGAGTTGGGGGTCAGTGGGCTTCTTATATTTTAGGCCTGTATCCAGGCGTGTGTCTCCCCAGGCGTTTTCCCCTCTGATCCGCTTTCCGCATTAAACTCCTGTCCAAGAACTGGGTGTCCAGGGTAACAGACTATGGTATAATATGGGATGGCTGGGGTCCACTGCTCCACTTGGGATTTTGCTCTCCCCCCCAAATTCCCGCCTCTGTAGCGTGTACATGTCCAAGGTAACAAGGTCACAGGTACGAAGGCCCGGCTGCGTTTGGACTAAAACCATGAGTGAAATTGTTTCTGAGGGGGGAAGGCCGATTCACATGCAATTGGCTTCGGGCACTGGCATCATCATATGCAAGTGCCGGACTTTGTACTCATTACCATACTAATAATCAGCATCATACCCGGCGGTAGGTTGCTAGCGACTCTGCATGTTTCGACGCTTGAGATTCGCGATTGTGATCTTCCCTTTGCCCATCCCCATCCAGTCAGGTTGACAGTTGGCGGTCCATCTGAAAAGGTTGCCCCTTTGTCATTTAACTGGATGGAGCAGTTAATTACCATGGGATCTGTCGGTAACGGCTCGCGGTTCAAAATAGGCATGCTGGCTCTCCGCCCTTGGGAGACGCTCCAAGTACACGACTGAACATCCATCGATTGGAGTGGAGTGACTCTGGCGCTTTTTCTGATGCAGCAAATAGCCAGCTTTCCCTTGAGTCTGATACTTCCACAGCATTCTCCCACAAGTAATTATCCCGTCACACAATTTCGCCGTCCGCAAGCTGGTGGCAACACCAGAGTATTGCGTATCGGACTTAATAATACTCGGAAAAACCGGTTCCTGACATCGAAGGTTGGACTATTATCTTGAAGGTTCGGTGGGGTATCGGTACTTGGGTTGTCTGTACCACTTCTCCCTTGTTAGCCATGCTATCCGGCGGCGTGGACATGTCGTGGTACACATAGGACTTGTACCGCCTTGTAGCACCGTGGCCCTCGAGTTTGTTTGATCTGGTATCACTGTGACTTCAGAGCTCACGACCCCTGCTCAGGTTGCAGGCCGATTGATGGCAGAGAAGTGCAGATTGGCTGCCAGGATGGGCGAGCTGGGTGATGGGGGTTGATATGCAAGGCTAGCCACTTCTGGACCAGGGCGCATACGTAATGGCACTTGGCTCTCACGATGTTGACTTTCCAGAGCCGAGATGGAAGCATCACCAAGAGCCTGACCTGGCAATCCCTTTCTTCTGCAGTGCTGTTCGCGATGTGGCAGCGAGAGCCGGTGCACTGTTTCCTTCAAGGCTTCTGCAGAGTTGCGCTTGGGGAGCCATCGTCTTCCCCGGCGTTCTCACCTCCAACGCTCAAGGGTTGAGTGGTGATGTCTCAATTTCTGGCCCACAACATGACGCATGATTGGCCTTAGAGAGACAATCCAAGACAAATCCTTCCGAGTGACGACTGGTGCGGTCATGACCTTGCCTGCCCTGGAAATCAAAAGCTCCGTCCACTCAGTCTCCCTGCTCCCTGGACCATCCATGAAATCTCGAGCTGGACCGCGCCAAATTGGGTTCAGCCATGCCAGTCTCGCCAACCCATTGGATGGGGCGACTGGATCAGAATTACTAGCGGTATTTCCCGATCACTGTGATAAGGGTGGATGTGCTCCTTGGTCGCCGAGGTTCAGTCTCGCCACTGCACGACTCCTTGTTTGCATGAAGTGCCCTGTCTCCGTCGCTCGCTCTGCTCTTCCCAGCCATCAAGATTCTCACAACACGGCAGAGGGGAAGGCATCATGAGCTCTCTGAATGGCTCTCGGCTGGTTGGCGCAGAGCACAGCTTCCAGCCACAACGACAATCAGATGCCAAAGAGAAAACTCGGTGTCGATCTGGGGAAGCCGTGAACTAGCATGCAAAGAATTGATTTAAGAGCTTGGCGGCTTCGATCGCGACCTTGTTTGCCCAAGCTTCTCGTTCCGGTGGATCTGGACTCTGCACTTCCAACCACCGTCGTTTTTGATGCGCCAAAGCCGCCACAAAAATTGGCGCCCTGCAAGGTTGGTGGAAAAAAGAAATGATCCCTTGACTTGACCAGAGCATCTTGCTTTGATACAATTTCGAAGACCCGTAGAATCTTATCCCATCACTATCACCACATCATGACGGAGGAGGAAAGCCAGTGACAAACACTCAATTTCCAGGCCGGCGTGCTGAGCCATGATTGACGTCCCTGATTTCAGGTCGTCTCTGTAGCATCGCATGTCTCTTCTGGAAGAAATGGACTCTGGAGCCTGTGGCTCAACTCTCCGGTGAAAAGCATTGAATGTCTGTACACCCAGAACTAGATGCCTCGAAACCACATATCGCCGTCAGGGGCAACTTTGCCATTTGTTTCTATTTCAAGAAACAGTGAAAAGCTTGAGCTTCAGAAAGCTTCCCCTTTCTCGCCGTTTCCCCTTTTTATCATACCCCAGATGGGATGGAAGTTGGGGAACTAGGCCCTATCCCTCCCGTTCGTGCATGCATGGGGAAAATCAGGTACGACTTTCCAAATTCACATCGGTACAACCAAAATTTCAAGGAGGTTGAGCGTCCATCCTGGGATTCCAGGGGCGCGAGATCACCCAGTTGGTGGCCGAAACTACAAATCATCACATGCGTCCAATTTTCGGCAATTTCGGTCTTGAGCCGGATCCATTTTTCTCCATGCGCTCACGCGAAGTTGTGGGGGTTCCGCCCTGAGTAGCGTGAAAGGGCCTTGAAATAACCAGGCCTTTTGCCTGAAGCTATCCGTGCACGATTCATTTAATTTGAAGGACGTTTCTTGGTTGTGGGGACTCCTTGGTTGACTATCTATCCAGAGTGCTTGGATGATGTTGTTATACCTCAATAATGCGGGTTTTCGATCGCCTCACGCGGCCGAGAAAATTTGTCGTCAGTCTTCAGCGACTGCCTTCTGATTCTGACGCCACGATCTGACGATTTGAAGAACCGTTGACCTTCAGGTGGTGGTTTACGCAAATAGCAAAGCGTACCTGCGCTCCACCCGAAGTTGGAAGATCAGCTGGGATTATCGTCAACACATGGACTCCCTGTACGGAAAACGTGATCAAAGTGATCGGGTTCATCTTTGTGGACGCAACTTCTGGGTTGGGATCCAAATTTCCACGAGATTGGAGTGCGTGAAGCAAGCAGCGAAGTCCGGTTTGAAACAACGGTGGCAGGCGGTTTGTCTGGACTCGCAGCAGGGTCTGCACCTGGCGATCTGCGATTCAGAAATCCATCTCGAGGGATTGTGGTCTCCAGACTTTAAGATCCGAAACATCTAGCTCGGAGACATCTGATAGCAATTCAATGTATGTTGAGCCTAGTGAGAATTCCCCGAGTGCAGTGAAATCTCCAAAATTGAAAATTGAAGGATCCCCTTCCCGTGTCAATGTTTCATGTCTGTGCGTTCAATCAGAAGAATATGCGTCGCCGAAATGCCTATCAACATACAGAGTATCGGGTCTCTAGCTCGTTGGAGGATGTCGTCCCGACTCCCAAAGGGAGGCCCCAGGATCTGGCAAATGTGGAGGACATTTGGAAGTTGAAACCCCTCTGTTTATTATTAGCACTTCAGACCTGCGAGAGATATCCAGTTCTGGCCCCAGAATGCGGGCATCTGTACTTTGGTTTCCGCCCCGCGATACCCACAACGGTTTGTGATGAACGTCTCCAGCATGCTCCGCATCTATAAGACCATTATTGCGCTGTTTTCTGTCCCTGCTTTCCAGTTCAAAGATTTGAAACTGGAAGATCGGAGTCCAGACTCCGCCTATCAAGAACATTATCCTCGGTGACACATGGGATTCTTTCTCCCCGGATTTAAAGTGGGAGTTGACGTGGCTGGAAGGAAGGCGTTCCGTATATCACTGGCAAGTGTCCATTGAAGCTCACTTTTGTCGTCGGTGCATCTCCGAACATTCATATGTCTTGATGATCTGAGGTCATCTCCGTTTGACATGGGACAACATGCACTCTCATTGATGCCCTTGCTATCAGGATCTCTCGTCCGACGACATCCTGTTCCTAGTCTCTTGCAGCCAGTTGTTTCGATAGTCAAGAACTCACCACCAGTTCCTACTTCTCACCCTCGCCCTTGAAGGATTACCTTACCCACGAAGGCACCGCCTAATCCGCTCTCGGAAGCCGACGATCTCCTAGCTTCACCTACCTGGCGACGTACCAGTGAAGATACTCCATCAAATTCGCAGAATTCGATTCGGGCTCAAAGAACTGAACAGGTCGAGAGATATTCACGTTCAAACAGGATGGCAAAATACCAGGGGCCGTGTTGTTGGCCACTAATAGGCAAGTGGCTCGCGCACGTGTTCAGGTTTGAAAGCATTTGGCGAATGTACGGAAGTTATCATGGCCTGGGTCACAGGAAAATCCCAGCGGCGAACATTTAACTTGACGGTGTTTATCTGGCTGGCCAGCTACTCAAGCTACTTCAGCGTAGAGGACATTGTATAGCCAGAGATTCAAATCAACGTACTTGTCGTTTGCATCAAATGCTAATAGTATCAAGCGCTGAGCACTATGCAACATTCGGGAAAATCCAATTGGTATTATTTCATTCATGTCACTAGAAAGCTTCGACAACGCCAAACTCCCAACACACCGCACCTTGGAAAACCTCAATATGTGCACATGTCGTAACCGAGGGCGACACACCCAAGGGGACGTGACGGTACTCATGACAATAATTCGTCGATATATGCCTTCTCCCGGGCGACGCCTTGCGCTTCTTCTTTCAGCAACACCGCGAGAACTTCAATGGGTGGATGGAGATCCAATCTATGGGCTCGACGCCAGCGTTTTATCCTAGCAATACCAATACAAGGCTGGACAACAATGTTAGCAAGCGTATATATACATGTGTAGAAAATGGAGTGTTCCCGCCAAAGGTCAAGAAGCCGTACCCCGTATTGGTTTGATAAATCAAAGTGCCGGAGTATCTTTTCGTTCACACTCAGTCCTTCTTGATGCACTAGAGCAGACGGTTAGCATATCGAGTCAAACCGTGCGAAAGTTTTGCCCTCTAAAGGCATCATGGCTTCCCACCTCTAGGCGCAATCCGCTTCGCTTCCTCCGCATGCCAGTACCGCCGGATATCCCTATCGGTTAACTCCTCCGCCCTCCGGTCTTCCGCTGACCTGGGCAATTGAACCTGTTCGCGCGCTTGCTCGCGAACGACATTTTCGGATTTGGATGACGCGGCAATAGGTTGCGGATCTACCACCGGGTCCACGACATCCGGTGCTTCTGGCGATGCAGACTTTGAACTGCGGTGCGCCTTGTTGGAGATTTCAACGGCGATCAAGCGAGATCGGGCAGGGGGAGAGGGAGAAGAGGTGTTTTTTGCATTCTTGAGGGACGCGGGTACGGATGTGGGTTTGGATACTCGTGATTTGGGGCCGAAGGAGAGGGTTTGTTGGTGACCTGCGGTCGAGGAATTGCCGGAGCGACGGCGGGGAGGTGGCATGGTTGGTTGATTTGCAAGGCACGTACAGCTTGGAAGAATGGCAAGGGTTAAGATGAAAATTGCGTCTTGAATCGATTGTCCTGGCTTTGAAGCTGCTCTGACCGTTTGGTGGTGTGCGGACTGCCAGGCTGGTTGCCTGTCGCCCAGGTTGTTGGTTGTCCGTGGCAACCGATTTATCTAAAGACTGGGCACAATATGGACGGCTTGGCGACTCTCATCACTTTTCGATCTCCGATATCAAAATTCATAGACCAACTCGTTTACTGTATCATTTTCGAGACTGGCATCTATATAGCATTATTTACAAGTTCGGCTTCGGTTGAAATTTAAGCACCTCCGAAACCACTTCCACCATCTCCACGACCTTCTCTTCCTCCAACCGTCTGCCAATCAGCTGCAAGGAGACCGGCGCCCCATGATAAAATTCTGGGTCATAGTCGTCCTGGATCGCTTGATCTCTGGGGCTTAAAGCTTTGAAACTGCTGCCTCGCTTGTGATCAATGGACTTGTCTGCGTATGTGACTGGGAATGTGCAGCCTGGCAGGTCTGTTTGATCCCTTTTGGTCAGTTTTCATCAATATCTAAGGGAGAGAGAAAGGTAAAGCCTACCGAGCAGGTTTGCGACTCCCGTGTAGCCCACATAATCCACCTTTTCACCCAATCCCAACCGAGCGGCTGATGCGGCCGCGACAGGCGCAATTATGCAGTCCATGGGGCCGGCTGTTTCGGTCTTTGTAGCAAGCCAACGGTCAAGGTAATCCTTCTGAAGCTGGTTTCTCCTCAAAATCATTTCTCGTAGCTTCTCAGGGCCCAGTTTCCCGCCGGAGGCTTTGCCGCCGGCGAACATTCTCTCCATGGCGCCAAATAAAGGTTCCTGGAAGGCTTGTAGGTTTGGCATGATGGAGGAAGAGCCCAGTTCATCAAAAGCTTCCCCAAGAAGAGTGAGGATTTCTTTATGGGCAATTGGTTTCCTGGAATATCATTAACATAGCTGACTTTGGAATAGTGGAGTTCGAACAGCTTACCATTCAAAAACGTCGTGGCCAGCATCTTTCAATGCCTTTTTCACCATTGCCAATGCACGCTCAACTGGTGGATGGCACGTAATCACGGTGTCGTTGTTTCCCAGAACACCGATCCGCAATTTACGCCCTTTGGGTTCGATCATGTTTTTCCTCCAGGGAATAGGAATGACCTTGGGGTCGTAATCCCAGGGCGCGGTTTCCTCTGAAAGAACAGTTTCGCAGAACAACTTCATTGATCCGAGTGATGGTGCCATCGGACCACAGACTGAGTAGATGAAATCTTGACCAGGGATACCAGGTCGACCTCCCCACATTGGGAAACGGCCAAAGGAGGGTTTGAGCCCGTATAAATGGCAGAATGCACTAGGAATGCGAATACTACCGCCAATATCGGTGCCCACTCCAAGAGGAGAGGCACGCATGGCAAGGATAGCACCTTCGCCACCCGAAGAGCCGCCTGGCGTAAGGCCCTTATGGATAGGATTTCGAGTTTCACCCCAAATGCGGTTGTTTGTCTCGCACATCATCATGGCTGTTGGGATATTGGTTTTTACATAGAAGACCGCACCGAGGTCTCTAAGGATGTCCACCAAAACCGATTCCTTTTCGGTGGGTACGTTGGCGTGGACGGACATGCCAACTGACGAAGGGTGGGGAGGAGTCATGAAATTATCTTTCAAAGACAATGGCAAGCCATGGAGAGGGCCAATGGTCTTGTTATGCTTTGCGAGATATTCGTCGAGGTATTTTGCTCGTTCCAAGCCATCGTTGAATAGAACTTCTGTCACACAGTTTGTCTGGCCTGCGTCAGCTTTGAACCGGCTTCTAATAAGTGTGGCCATACCAGCTTCTGAGCGATTGCTGCAGCTTTGCAAAATGCAATGGTCGCTGCAACCGAGGTCAGCTTTCTTTCCTTGATCCTTTGCACAAGTGTCTCGGCGTCTGAGTAGATGATCTCGAGCTCCTCGGTGGATAGCAACCCAGAGGTCTTAGGGAAAGATCTCAGATCCCTTGGGAGGGTATCTTCATTGATATCTGGGACCCGGAAAAAGGCATTGAGGGCATCATCGCGCCTCTTCCGAGCAATCGCTGAAATTTCTTTGTAGGTTTGTGTCATTGTCCAAATATGATAGATGCCACACTAGATCAACAAATATATTGTGCTATCTGGAATTGAATGGACCGTGTTCACCAGCAGCATCTCAACCTTATATCACCCCAATCTTCTAGCCCTCGACCGCATAACACGGCAACTCAAGGGGCCCCTTTGGAGGGGGAATCTGTGGAGAACATGCGAATTCAATGCACTTCGGCAATCAAGCCGAAGTTGAACGGATGCGGCTGTAGGCCTCTATTGGTAAGGGCAGCCTAGCTTCGGCGTTGAGGTTAGGTTTTCCGGATATCAGAGCGGCTAAGGTACGTTCTCCGGTAAACAGAGATCTGCTGAGGTATATCGCCTGTCGCACTGATGGGTCGCGATATCATAGCCGGGAACGAAATAGACTGAGTTTATCAGCCGATGTCGTATGGCTCGTCCTCAATTCGATGCTTAGTAGCCCATCTCACTTGAACAAGCCCGAGAGCTCTTCTTATTATCATGATGTTTTGAATCTGTGCCTTGTTGATGTCTTCCTCTTCGTACCCCACACAGGCACGGCCCCATGGCGGGGAAGTGGGTAGGCTCCTGTCTGCTAATCACGGAGAACTCTCAATATTCGGGCAACGCTTTGATCAAATAGCGGAATATTTCCTTTTATCAGTAGTAGGCTGGTGGAAGGAAAACGGGCCGGGTAAATCGGAACTGGATGCGTTGATATAGAGACAACTGTCGATGGTGCATACAAACCATAGCGAAGCCATTGATCAATTCAAACCACTTCTCCTCTCCTCCGTGAATGTTTGGAAGCTCTTCTTGGGCGGCAAAAGCATCGCCAGAATTGCCGAGGCTCCGGCGCTCAAAATCCCGAAACGCGACGCGTTTTGCGGTGACGTCGAAAATGGGAATCACTTTCGCGTTGAGCCCGAACCTCGACGCTTCGAACGCCCTCATTTCATCAAGCATCAATGAAATCTCACATATGCAGAACAACTTGCCTCCTATCAAACTTGCACTGCTGAAAATATGAGCAATAAATCCATTGAACAGGCATTGGCCAACCTGCTTCCCACCCTCGCTGACTCCTTACCAAGTGACCTGGTTCAGTTAACTGCATTTTTACTAACTCAGTCGCGAACCCATGGAAACGTAAAGGCTGAAGTAGAAATAGCAAGACCATATGCATGCGCTGAAATTGCTTGTAAAAGGTGCGCTTTTACAATCGCTATTGTGCTTTTTGCTGGTGACGTGATTGAGAGCTAACTGGAGAACTGCAGGTTGAGCAAGTCGCTAAAACTTCCCCCTCCGATCAGCCGGCCGCCGTGCCCACCGAGGTTATACAAGAATCTATATAAACATTTGGATCAAGTGCTCTCAAGCTCGTCTGCTGGGCCGGAACGCCAGAAGAGGAATGATTCCCGGCTTCGGCCGAGACCTGCTGCAACACAAAGCCATGAGCCAGCACCTTCTGTTGCGCGGTCAAAGTCGAAGTCGACGGTAAATAAATCGTCTCCGGCGAAATCACAAAAGCGGCCTAGACAAGAAAACACGAGGGTAATCAAATCCACAAAGATTCAAGATGCACCTTCGTGGACGATGCCAATGATCAGGAGGATATGCAAGGCGCTCTCCCCACACCTATCAAACCTATACCCTACTGCACCGCCAGATGTCTCAATAACGTTCGCTCCGCATATTTTTGCGGGAATCTCGACAATATTATCCCTCAATGAGAGGGCGATATCTGATATCCCCGGGCAGTTTGAAACAGAGGAGAAGGATTTGATGTTGGCAGTTACAGCTGAGAACTATGATCTTGAAAGCGAGTCCTACCGTGCTGGAGTGATAGCGCTCGCAATAGCAGTTTACTTTATGGTTCTCGTGCGTATCCTTGGGCTAGATCAAAACGGGACGTCTCGTGGACGAGGCACATTTGATGACGATACGCTCAAAGCGCTAGCTACGGCCGCTCTAAAGAGCGAAAACGTAACCGATGAGGACCTGGTGGTGAAGGATGTTGAGGCATGGATCCTGATTGTTATCAAAGCCAAATGGATGAATGGCCATGACTGGTTTGAGAATGTTCCCCATCCTGATAGCGCTGAGGACGAGGAGGGTGAGGGCTCTGAAGATTCAGGGGAAGATGAAGATGATGGCTATGGTGTTATTAGCGCCAAGAAGCGCAGATTGATGAATCGGTATGTTGCGCAGACCAAGCATCGTAACTCGCGGGATGTAGATGAACGGCAGAAATTGTTACCCGGATTGAATACCATGATGCACGACCGGGTAGATTGGCTTAGCGAGGATAGAAAGGATGACTATGTGGCATGGAAAGAGAGAATGCTGAAGTGGATGCAGGAGATTGAAAACAGTGAGATTGTAGTCTAGCTGGCCTTAATCCTGTATATTCGCGGATATCCCATGTTCATATGTACATAAACCTGGATATGCACATTGTTGTGGGTTTAATACCAGATACTTCTTGTTCGATGATGTGGAATATCTTCCTGGCCGTCCTTTTCCATTTCCTTCATCCGGTCGTACAACAGGAAATCAATCAAAATAGCATTGACCCCCATAGGCTGCTCTTCGTCATTTTCTTCGTCCTTGTCGTCATCCTCCTTGTTGAGGCCTTCTCCGTGACCTCTAAGACACTGCGGTTCAGGGATTTGTCTTTCCTTGGCTTCCTCTATCGAGCCTATATCCAATACCTCCACCGATTGGGAACCTGAAGTAGAAGAAGACAGCCCTTCGGCATACGCACCAGCCTTGGCGGCAGTATGATTCTTCATGATTATTTGGCGGATCAGCTCCACGCACCAAATACTAGCGCCGCGCAGTTCTAATTCCCACTTGTGGCCGCTCGGGATCGTTTTCAGTTGTCGGATATGGCTTTCGAGGGGAGGGGAATAAAGCAAACAACCTAATTGGTAGAGCATCTGTGGCACGCGATAATCTGCAAACATGGTTATTTTGTCAATGTCGTCGAATCGGCCATATTTCTTGCCCCTGAAACAGGCCCAGATGTCTGCAACGAGAATTTGCGCTCGTTTATAGAAGCGCACAGTTTTGCCATCGAATTTTGCCTCATCACGGAAGCATGGAAAGTTCTCTGCCAGAAGATTTACCAATCCGGCGGCAGAATTATTCGCTTCTTCAATGCAGCTCACGAAACTGCCACCGTACTTCTATAACTCTCTATGTTAGTAGCATGCCATGTCGGGTGATAGAACAGATAGGGTGCGCAAGCCCGTACATCACAAAGAACCTGACCTGCTTCACGGAGACACGCTATCCGCTCTTGCAAAAGGGGTATCTCTTCGTCTGTTGCGGACCGAAAAACGTGTTTTATGATATTTTCTGTGCACCTTTCCTGATCTTGCCAGAATTCAGGGGTTGTGATTGGAATCTCTGTAAGTCTTAGCACATGGTGTCTTATTCACAGGGAACAAGGAAAATGCTTTTCACGGCGGGAGTACCTTCATCTAAAGCTCTTTGTAACGCAGCTACTAAACTCCAATAACCGGTCCACCGCGTCCCGCGATATTCAACAGCAAAGCGTTTGGACTCGTCCTTTTCGGCAGACCAAAAGCTGAAATTCAACAGATCCATTGTAAAGATAAAATCAACCGTATTTGCATTCTTTTTCTTGGGATGTAACTCATGCGATGCCCAGGTTTTGGTAGAGTAGGATCTCTCTTGCATCATCTGCCATATGGTCTCTGCTGCCTCTTTCGTCTTCGCTGGATCAATCGCAATATCAATAGCATTGTCAAAAATGAACCGCGCTCCTTCAAGCACCTTAGTTTCCGGAGGAGCGTTTTTGGGGGGAGGACCTAATCCCAAGGACTGGCGGAGAAGTTCCAGGAGCTCTGGATCCGCCTCATCATCAGACATCTTATGCTAAATCAGGGATTTGAAGTCTGCGCTAGCAGAAGAGAATATCTTTTGAAAAATAGTGTATAGAGAGTAGTTTAATCAGTCCCAGTTATCGATAGGAAATAGGTCACTGTCATAGCCAAGAGCTCAGCTACTGGATCCTACCAGGAACAAAGAAGAATCAAAAGCGCAGATGGAATTGACAAAGCAGAAATATCTTGAGAAAGAAATTTGATATCCCGGACAGCCCGTTTGGGGATTTTTTGCTGCTGCTTTAACCAGCTGCCTGCCGAGTGGCTAAAAGATGACATCAGCTGCTGCTCAACGGCATGGACTGGACTTCTCGCCAATCAATCCCTCACAGAACGAAGCACAAGCCTACGCGCTGAACCGAACGCGAGGTGAGCAGGACATCGGCGCATTTTCATCGCTCAAGGGCCTTTTGCCTTGGAGACCTGCACAGAGCAAGTCTTGCGGGGCTTGCTAACTAAGCTTCTGTTGAAAGGGACAGGGCAATTGGATCGTGGTTGTCATTGTCTCGTGCCCAGTGCATTCAATGAGAAGTAATTACTATTATCAGGTCCGACCAGGAACACAATCCACTAGCTTTGAAGTGTTGAATGTATGCCTTTAAGATGGTGCGATTTCATATATCACGTTGGAAAGCAGCCTGATCTTCCGTACAAGTTCTCCCGCTCTACTTGAAGCGATTAGCCTTCCCAGAGCTTACAGAATCTCCGTTCTAACAAGGGCCACAAATCCGTGTCTCTCTCAGTGGAGCATATCCTGATACATTGCCAGCCCTCTATCGAAATACATACCTACAAGAATGGCGCAAAACGGTGTCACCCCTGGACCTCGAGATAGGCAGCTGCAACAGTCTCTCGGGACTCTGTCTGCCGTGATACGAAAGGCAAGTTGGAAACAGAATACAGCGATTGTGTCAACTGTAAACTGACAAGCATTTTTCAATGTAGTCGCGCGTGCTACTCGTCGGCGCGGGAGGCATTGGTTGTGAGCTTTTGAAAAACCTTTTGCTATCGGGCTTCGGCGAAATCCACATCATAGACCTTGACACCATCGACCTCTCCAATCTTAATCGACAGTTCCTCTTTAGGCATGAGCATATCAAAAAGTCGAAAGCTTTGGTGGGCGTCCCTGCTAGTATATTGCTTTTGCGTTTCGTTGCTCATACTAACTACTAGCCTTCTTGAATATAGGTAGCCAAAGAGGCAGCCACGAAATTTCGGCCGCAAGCAAAACTTGAAGCCTACCATGCCAACATCAAAGACAACCAGTTCAACGTAGAGTGGTTCGAGTCCTTCGATATTGTTTTCAACGCCCTGGATAACCTTGACGCGCGCCGGCATGTGAACCGAATGTGCTTGGCAGCTAATGTACCCCTGATAGAGAGCGGCACAACTGGATTCAATGGCCAGGTGCAGGTAATCAAGAAGGGACAGACTGAATGCTATGATTGCACAAGTAAACCAATTCCCAAGTCATTTCCGGTTTGCACCATCAGGAGCACTCCAAGCCAACCGATTCACTGTATCGTTTGGGCTAAAAGCTACTTATTGCCAGAACTTTTTGGGACCTCTGAAGATGACATGGAAATGGATCACTCGGAAGATTCTGAGAATACCGAAGAAATTGCGAAATTACGACAAGAAGCCCAGGCGCTCAAGGAAATAAGGAATTCAACAGGCTCATCGGATTTTGCGAAAAAGGTTTTCGACAAGGTCTTCACTCAGGACATCGTTAGACTTTGCGGAATGGAAGATATGTGGAAAAGCCGAAAGATCCCGGAGCCCTTGTCTTATGATTCCTTGGAGAACGAGGCCAGTTCAGTTGACTCATTCATCTCGAAAGAAGACCAAAAGACTTGGACACTGGTTGAGAACTTTGCTGTCTTTAAAGATAGCATCCAACGTCTAGTTAAGCGATTGCACGAGCTCCAAGCAACTGTTTCTGAGGGACCACCTCCGATAATCACGTTTGACAAGGACGATGTTGATACACTTGATTTTGTGGTTGCCAGCGCCAATTTGCGGTCAGCAATTTTCCACATTGACTTGAATTCAAAGTTTGATATCAAGCAGATGGCGGGAAACATTATTCCTGCGATTGCAACCACAAATGCAATGACAGCCGCACTTTGTATCCTACAGGCATTCAAAGTCTTGAAGGATGACTATGCAAACGCGAAGATGGTATGATACTCCTATGGTTGAGCCAAAATTCTTCTTACTAAGCACGAGACAGATATTCTTGGAACGGTCTGGCGTTCGAGCAATAAATACGGATAGTCTTAAACCACCGAACCCAGAATGTCCAGTTTGTTCGGTCGCTCAGGGGAAGATCTTCGTTGATCCTAACCGAGCCACTTTAAACGATTTGGTCGAAGGCATTCTTCGCTTGAAGCTGGGTTATGGTGATGAATTTTCGATCAACAACCAACTTGGAACGATCTACGACCCAGATTTGGAAGACAACTTGTCAAAGAAACTTAGTGATCTCGGTGTAGGCAATGATAGCTTTGTCACTGTCATCGACGAAGAAGACCCCAGCCCCAAAGTTAACCTGGAACTGTTGGTCGCCGAGCGGTATATAATTTCCCTCCTCACCGTGATGCTCATGAAAACCAAAATTGATCCGCTAACCTCTTGATATAGGACTGCACCGGAAGCTCAAACCCCAGTCTCACTCGAAACGGAACTTAGCATCCCTACAAAGCCAAAAGTACCCGTAGTGGAACCTACCAATGGCACTCATGAGCAGATAAATGGAAAAAGGAAACGAACCGCAGATGAAGCGGAGCTTGAAAATGGCGGTCCGCAATTGAAGAAGATCGCAAAAACTGGCACGGGTAGCGGCGGTGACGGTCCAATTGTCTTGGATGATGACACTGGTGCCATTCTCATCGACGACTAGGGCTACTAATCTTGGGATAGTCAGTCTCCCAATCCAGGTCTGACTTCAAACAATCCGACTTCGATCTTATCGTCCGCACTCACAGAGTTTCTCACTTTCGCAGGTTCTCGAGATTAACGTCATAATACTGGTGGTTTTTCTGTCATTTTTATTAATGCACGTTGGATGATACATGATGACATTTGGCAATTTCTGGCGCAAAAAAAGAGGAAGGCTCTGGTATGCATCATTGGGTCCATTACTTGCATATTCGCCATAATCAGGAAAGCTGAAGATTTTCTTTTTTGTTTTCACCACTACCTCTCCTCAAAAGACTCACGTCTCATCTTCAGTTTATATTCTCCTCATGTTCAATTATTGTGAATATCTTGTGTTTTCTCTACAGGGCGCTTAAACCGCCGTCTAGATTTAAAACGCAGTTGTTGGCGTATTGGTTTGTTGCCAGAAAAAGAGCTGCATCGGCGACTTCTTCGCATGTACCAAACCTTTGGAGCGGGACAGAGAGTCTTGCTTCTTCCTGGATGTTGGGACTCAATTCTGAATTTCTTTACTGTTAGTATATTCCTTTTACCCCTACGGCGGGCTTCTTTCATAACGGGCATCGGGTATCATAGGTAACGAGAAAGGGAAGCGTTCACTGCCGGCCTAAGAAGCCTGTAGCTAGCGCGGTGGAGTTTATGTATAGAGGGAAATCTATTAATGCTTTCGACTGGAAACATACCGTCGAGCATCTTCGTCTTGATATACCCTGGCACAATGACATTTGCGCGGAGCTTGGGCCCCTGTCTTGAAGTGGAGGCCTCCGCGGCAATTGCGCGGGTCAAAGCGATCACTCCGGCTTTGGTAGATGCGTACGTAGCGGCTCCAATTCCACCTTTCAACGCGTGAAGGGAGGAAATGTTGATGATGCATTTCGAGATGTCGCTGTGGGACGACGTAGGTCGACGGAGAAGACGGCTGGTCATAGCTCGACAAGCGAATATTGTCCCTTGTAGATTTGTATTCAGCATTTCCGAAATGGCTTCGTCTTTTGCGAACGGGAGCAGTGATGAGTGCGAAACTCCCGCGGCGTTGACCAGGATGTCTACGTCGCTCTAGAAGGGAGTGTAAGTAGAGCAATGATGTGCTCGCGTATCCTCAGGGTCATCATACCATGGCCTTTTTCATTTCGCCGGACCAAAATGACGGGCTCCCAACGTCCCCAATCATAAAGGATATTCGATCCGTAACCGTTACCATTGCAGATGGAGGCAACTGCTTGGGCTTCAAGCTAAAATTCCCCCATTTACTGGGTTTGGTCACTGAGTCTGCTTCGTCCTTTGTCTCCTTCCGTGACGCAGCTTCTGCGGCTGTTTGAGGCTCTTCCAGCATAGGTTTCGGCGGGACGGCTTCCTCCAAGCGCTGTAGTGCATTTTGCAGATGCTCGCTATTCCGACCTACAAGAATGACTTTCCCAGCTCCTTCGAGAAGCATTCGCTGGGCTATGGCAAATCCGATTCCCGAAGAGGCGCCCGTGACCATACATGTTGCGTTTTCTAGACGGCCAAGGGTATTAGAAGGCCGCCTTGGTGCATTGGAATGAATCTGGCGCTTCTCAGTCAATACGCTCTGGGATGATAGAACGCTTATCCTCCATTGTGGAGTGAGATGAAATCTGCCCAATTGGGTTATTCTGAGAGCAACAATGTGCAGATTGCGGCTGCTAGAAGGTGAGAAGAAAATTGAAGACATTGAGGGGGAAATAACTTGAGAAGTCAAAGGACGTTAGTTGCGGATTTTGTACGGAGTATGAATAGAAGCCAAACAGCAAAACCACTTTCACTTTCCACACCCGACGCGCACCTCTTCTCACTTTTTCCCGCAACGCCATCCCTCAACAGAACAGCTCAGCTGGTGCACAATGGCCACAGATACAAACCTCCCCGAGTTTGTTACTCTCACCTCCAATGATGGATTTGACTACGTGATCTCGAGGAGTGCAGCCTGCATTTCAGGCACAATACGCCGGATGTTAGACCCAGCAAGTCTGTCTCTTCCCTCTCAGAAACCAGATCCATTCAAGGGCGGCGCTAACCTAGCTGTCTTTTCTGAAAATAGACAATTTCTCTGAAGCTGTGAGCGGTCGATGCGTTCTGGAAAATATGAAGTTTGTCCACCACGCTCCCTACGACGCGCCTTACTGGGCAAAAATTCGACTAACGCTTTCTTCGAAGTGGTGTTGTCCTCGAGAAAGTCTGTGAATATCTTCTATATCATGAGAAAAATGTAGGCCAGGCCAATGTGCCTGATATGGATATACCGCCAGAATTATGCCTAGAACTGCTTTTGGCTGCGGATTACTTGGACAGTGAGTCTCCAAGTCCTCTATAAAATTTAGTTGACCTTGCCAACGCTTTCGTCTTCAGCGTAAATGGGCTATTTCGTGGTATTTATAGAGGTTTACCGAGTCAGCGAATAGCGTTCAGGACGCACTGGTTTTCGATCCAAAGATACCATTATTTTGTCTAACAACTTCTCAAACGGTTCGACTTGGGCTTCGCAACAAGATGAGGAACATCCGTGACGCGTGCTCTGTGGAATGGGATCTTGCGTCACCTTTGTAATTGGGAGATTGCAGAGGACCACTATGAACAACCGCTTTTGGCATTACGTTCCTCCGATGGGATGTTAACCCACATCTTCCCATTAATGCTCGTGGAGCGATACGTCTAAAAGTGGCGGTTATATCAAATCTCCCCGGGAGAAAGGAACGTTCAAGGATACGTGAACGCAGCCCTAGGACTTGAATACTCATTCTGGGCGGCATCTTGTCACAACCTTGGGTTTGAGATACGGGGACAGTCATGTCAGTTGTTTGTTGCTATTTTTTGATGTGCTGTTAGCAAAGGAGATAACTTTAGTTGTGAGTATTCGATATTTTATGCTAGTGATTTTGAATCTAGCGGTTTATAAAAGTTTTCCTGTAATTATCCAAATCACCTTCGTCGGGTTATAGGAGCATGACCGATATAGGCTATCTAACATTCCACGAAATCAAATCTTGAAGGAATGGATCTGTATCCATTAAAGGATTTGCTTTGACCTTACCCTGAGGCCATGAAAAGGGATACCACCATGATTGAAAAACTCGAAATTACATTTTACCGGTAATCTTGCCTAAATTCTCCAAGGTAACTAAGTTTGAATATCATCAAGATAGGATCTTGTCCTGTCTTGAGCCAGATAGAAAAGTTACACAGGAATCACTGGATCGACCCCTAACGCGGCTCTCAAGGGCATCCAACTATCGTTTTCCAGATAATGGTGCAGCGTCCTGGCGAGATGGCCAGACCATAAACGGCCTGGACTAGTTAAATCGCTGCAGCGAAGCACACAGCTCAATCTATTAGATCTGCTCTGTTCGTCCGCCCCTCTAGGGAGTATCCAGGTCACGCATTTCTGCTTTGCATCTCGCGTTTCAAAGAGAGTTGCGTTTTCTTCTGTTTATTGGGGTCGATCGGCATAAAGTCGTTTCTCACGCCATCATCAAGGGTCAGGATAGCAAACTTTGTCCTGGAGGCACCATTGTGAAAATCGAATCAGTCACAAAGACGGGCGATTCAATCTATCCCCTTCCTTTCCTGGCCGATGTGCCCCGTCCGCCTTTCCCGCCGGGTCCTATGGCGGCTTTCTGCTCGTAAAGTGGCTCTTTAATGAACCCTGCATCCGCAACTCTCAGATAACTGACCACTCCTTGGTCGACTACACCAAGGATAACGTTACGCCATCCATGGCGCAATCGCATGTACATTAGCCGGTCTAACTTCTCGCCGCGAGGGGGCATCAAGGGTGTGTTGGCTAGGAGGGCCCCAAGTTCACTCAGTGAGGGAACGGAGGGATGTGTACGGGCGTTTATCACAGCGAGGCGGAAGTCTGGAGTGCCAGGAGATGATTTGCGAAATGGGGTCGACGGCTTGTAGACATTGAAAGCAAGGCGATAAGGCGACGTAGAGCGCGAACTTGATTCGATTATTGTTGGATCAGAATCGGGGATAGCTGGATTAAAGGCCGGGATGATGGAGAGGGTGCGATAGATATCGTCTAATCAAGGTAAGCGTTGTATATCATAGAAAGGGTCAGCGATCACGCACCGTAACTACGATGAATCCCTAGACCTATCACTGGCCCGTGAACAGTAGAGCATGTGGATTGAGGGTTGATGATAGAGTGGAAAAGCTCCGATAAACGTGCCAGGAGTCCCGCACGCGGCGGCTCACTGGAGAATCTTCGCGGTTGCCCTTCCGTTGTCGCTGGTTTTAACGCTTCTGGTAGGTTTGTCCTCCAGCTCTCGGCACGAATAACAACATATCCGCCTCTTCGCAATCCCGCATACACTATATACCGCTCCGATGATAGTCCTCCCCGTCCGAGAAAGCAAGCATACGCCGCCTGTAGACTCATTGGGACACCTCGTTCCATAGCGTCTATAGCATCAATTACCCCTCCACCCTGTGAGGATTCTACTGGCCAACGAATGTCTAGGCTGCCACGCTCTAGGAGATACAACGCCTCTTCCGGTAACAGCCAAACTCTGTTGAACTGGTCCGCCCGTCCCATTGTTCTGAAATGCTGGCCCCGCGGATTTGGCACACAAACACAAAGGTCATCTCCGCGCGGGCGATAAACCTGGCGTTGTACTTGGAGCTGAGCAATGCCTTCAACTGTAGAATCCACTTTCGACGCATTCTCTGTGGTGGGAGGCTGCGCGCAAGTCGCTTGAGACGCTTGGACCGTTCGCGACGACTCAGGTTCTAGGATTCCGTCAGGACAGAATATACCCACTATCCTATTTTTCGGATTATGCAAGCGCGGATACATAAGTGCATTGTGCATAGCATTTCGAGACGCCGCAAGCGTGTCTGCTTGGTGAAGTGTCGGGTTCGGCTCGAAGTCTTTCTCTCCTCGATGGGGAAGGGTTTGTAGAGTAGGATCGGAAAGACTATAATCCACAGGTCAGTATTAGCTTTACATGGCGAAAGAATAGAGATTTGAGTAAAAGCCATTGTTAATGTGAGATATATTTACAGTGAGAGATTGTTCAAGAACCGGAAATCTTGAGCCTCATCGGAGATGTCCTGGTCCACACCGGTCGAAGTAATGGCGGTGGAGGAAGGCCGCAGCATGCCATCTTCATCGGCGTCCGCCATTTTGTGATATAGATTAGGCTATAGGACGGCCTATGCTCGAATATCTGAGGGTTTGCGCCGTCGAGGCCAGTTGGAGTTTGGCGTGTTCGAAATTCATAGATGTGATTGATAAGATAAGCGTCTTGGCGCTTAGTCCCTCGGCGCCAAAACACGCTAAAGGCTGGCCCTAAAGCTAGGGACCTTTAAGGGCGTGGAGGCCCGAGGACTTGGCGGGCCGCGGGGCATCCTCTCAAGTTTGAACTGCCCGCGCTCTCAAGTTATCCAGAATGATTATCAAGACTGCGTCTAAAAGTCTGTCTCCCCATTTACGTAAATAACTGCGGTGTAACCTAGCACGTTACGGGCATCTTGCACCAAGACATGATTTCTACCCAATCCTCCGCTCCATTGTTAGAACAAGCAAGTCCCTCCCAAAACTCTGGCGCTATCGCCTATCTAACAGGTTCTGCTTTGTTTTGTGACAAAAAAGATATCAAAAAACCTATCGAATACGCGAATTTCCTTTGGCCCTAAATCGCCGCAATATCTTGCGGTGCTGGCTACGTTGCAAGAATATATCGCTGAGGTTGGGAGTTCAGAGGCCGGAGCAAAGGCGGGCCTCGGCTCTATCGAGATTGGGGCTGACGAGGTGGACGAGCTACGTGCCTTATTGGACAGGGAGTTGAAGATTGCCGATCAATAAACGATCTTAATCAAGAGAGCAAGTGCAGTTCAATGCTCCAATGGTTTCT